GGGTGCTGCCACTGAAAAGGCTCGATCACCACTGGATCTCCGTTTCGATCTAGGAACCTCCAGGACCATCAGACTGGCCGAACGAAGGTCTCTGGAGGGCCTATGCAACGTGACAAGGTCTGTAAGGTACTCTGGGGCTAGCCCATTGATACACTTAAAAACAAATAGAATCACCTTAAAATCAATCCGATACTTTACTGGAAGCCAGTGAAGCAATGAGAGCACTGGAGTAATGTGCTCCCGCTTTTTCCTGCCACTTAAAAAACGAGCTGCTGCATTCTGTACAAGCTGCAGACGATAAAGCTCAGATTTCCCAATGCCTACATATTAAGAGTTACAGTAATCCAGGCGCGAGGTAATAAAAGCATGAATGACTTTTTCTAGGTCAGCCTGTCTCAGATACGGTTTGACTTTAGCTATCAGTCTAAGCTGAAAAAAGCTAGCCTTAACTACAGCACTGACCTGCTTATCCAGTTTAAAAGCACTATCAACAATCACTCCAAGATTCCTGGCATGGGATCTTAAGTGAGGTGCTAGTTGGCCCAGGGAACTGGTAAGAACCTGAACCAACTCTGGACGACCAAACAAGACAATCCTTCGCCCCCACCCAGAGATTTGGAACCTGTGGGTTTGGCCTCTGAGGGGGCCCAACTCATAGATGCTGGTCTCTCAACTGAGGTTGCAGAGACCATCTTACACTCCAGAGCTCCAGCTACAAGGAAACTTTATGCCCTGAAGTGGAAGGTTTTCACTTCTTGGTGCCATCAGCGTCAGTGGGATCCGGTTAACTGCCGACTTGGTTCAGTGCTTTAGTTCTTACAAGATCGCTTTTCATCAGGGTTATCTCCATCCAGCCTTAAGGTTTACATGGCGGCCATAGCGGCTTACCACACCCCTGTGGGTAAGGCATTGTTGGGTAGAGACCCCTTGATTATCCGTTTCCTTCGTGGTACTCTGAGGCTAAGGCCTGCTACTCGTATGGCTTGGGACCTGGCTACAGTCCTAGAGGACCTATCTGCGGCTCCCTTTGAGCCCCTCGAATCGGTCTCAGAAAAGTTTCTGACCTTTAAGACCATCTTCTTTCTAGCTATTTCGTCCCTTAAGAGAGTCTGAGACTTACAGGGCCTTTCGGTTTCTCCCACCTGCCTTGAGTTGGCACCCAGGATGGTTAAGGCATTTTATAATAAACAGGGTTACATCCATAAAGTGCCGACTAATATACCGAGGCCTATTGTGTTGCAAGCTTTCAGTCCTCCTCCTTTTATTACTCCGGACCAGGAAAAGCTGAATCTCCTCTATCCAGTGCGAGCACTGGACACTTATGTCCACAGAGCTGCCCCGTGGAGAAAGCTGCTTGTCTGTTTTGGATCACCAAAGAAAGGTCTTCCAGCTTCTAAGCAGACGATCAGCAAGTGGATAGTTGAGGCTATTTCTTTTGCTTCTTTTGCTTCCATACTAGGAGTATGGCGGCCTCTAAAGCCTTAATTTCAGGGGTTTCCCTACAAGAAGTGTGTGATGCGGCAGGCTGTTCTTCCCTGCTCACTTTTGTGAGGTTTTATAGCCTGGACCTGGACGCTGCCCCATGGTCTCAGGTCCTTATGACATAATTGCCAACAGTTTCTCATTCAGGCAATTGTAAGTACGGCATTTTGGTATTGTCGCTCCCAAAGCGTCATCGACGCAGTGCGAGTTCCCTCAAAAGAGAACGTCTCAGGTTACGACTGTAACCCTAGTTCCCTGAGAAGGGAACGAGATGCTGCATCACCCTGCCATACTTCCTGCATTCCTGTGATCGACTTGCTTCAGCCATATCGAAGCTAATGCCGGTCAGACCGGATGTGCTTTTATCCTTTCCTGGTCGTGACGTCATCCGCCCATGACACTCACTCTCGCCATTGGACTAGTTGACATACGTGCTTCAGACGCAATCACGCAGGGGCGTTCCCAAAGCGTCATCGACGCAGCGTCTCGTTCCTTTCTGAGGGAACTAGGGTTACAGTCGTAACCTGAGACGATCTCCTCTTCTCTGTCTGGCAGTAGGGTGCTGGTGTAAAGTCACAGCAGGACACTTTCTCTTTCACACGCAATGTTCCTTCCTGACTCTTTAAGCACATCCCACCAGACAAAGACATGGATTTCAATTTCTGCTGAATTATTAGATGTGTGGTCACATGCAGCTATATATCTGCACGAGGAGGGTCCTGCCTACCATGAATCTTAACGTAGAGATAAATTGCTTGTGTGATTACAGCAGAAGACTTGATGACAAATGAAAGCCATTACAGCTTAATTAAATTCTGCACTTTCATCAAATTTATCTTTATGTGAGAGCCATATGTTTCATAACCTCACATGTAATATGAGCTGCGTAGAAGTGGCGTGTCGCTGTGATCGTGATCATTTGCAGGGAAGGGGGACAATGCAACAGTCGAAGGCTATTGATTTAAAAAACCTGCAGGGGCAATAATGTTATTTTGATTTCATATGCAAGCCTGTTGCATTGTGAATTCCTTGCCAAAACAGGTGCTAATATTGCTTTTGATATAGGTGGTCCTTGGTTTCCTCTGTTGGGCACAGATGTGTCCTGGTATTGGGTTTTTAATAACTTGCTGTCAGTCTGAGCTTTGCCCCTGCATTATTAGGGCCTTTATAACAGGGGGAAAGGCTAGGACGATATTAAAGGCTTTCAAAAGCATGTGTACTCATACACCACACACACACACACGCACACACACACACACACACACACACACACACACACGCACGCACGCACGCACGCACGCACGCACGCACGCACGCACGCACGCACGCACGCACGCACGCACGCACACACACACACACACACACACACACACACACACACACACACACACACACACACACACACACACACACACACACACACACACACACACACACACACACACACACACACAAGCACTCCAGGTGCACTAGATCTAATATAGCCATAAAAGATCATGCATGCATTGCTGCACAGTGTTGAGAATGCAAAAGAGAATATTCATAAACCGAAATGTCGCAGCTGCCTTCCATCCCCTTGATGCAGCATACCATAAAATGTCCTTTGCTTGTGACTGCATAAGTATATGGCTTGTGCTTGATGGTAGTGACTTAGTTTTGAGTGGACCTGCACTGAGGGGGCCAGAGGGTTCTCCTCCCACCATCTGGACAGGGCTGAGTCTCTCGCTGTCCCTGAGCTACAGTTACTGACTTCATTAGATTTATTAGGGCAATGAGCCCCCTGCCTTGGGCCGAGAACTTAACAGATGTGCCACCACTCAATGCCAAGATAGCTAAGAAGCTAAAGAAGAGGATGACTTCTAGCTCTCAATTTTCAGAAAAGCAACAAAAAGTTCCCAACATAACATTTTAAAGTTTATACCAGAAGCTTTTTGTCTTAGGAGGCAAGGGAGGCAGTGCGCCTCCTCTAGAAAATGGATCATGTATATATTATATTACAGTGTGATTTATATTATATTATATTATATTATATTATATTATATTATATTATATTATATTATATTATATTATATTATATTATATTATATTATATTATATCAAACACTGCCCAGCAAAAAGAAAAAAGAAAAAAAAAGAGGCTGTTTGGATATAATAGTCAAATGCTTAAGAGCAAATGGTTGGATCATTATTGCAGTGATTTATTATGTTTCTAGCACGTTTTATGTCTGGCAACAGTTCTTCTAATCCCAATTGATGTGTAGCTTTTCATTTCTTAAACAACCATGTAGGAAGACATACCATGGCCATATTCCAGGATGACAATGTCAAGATTCATCAGGGTCAAACTGTAAAAGAATGGTTGGGAGGGAGCATGAAGAATAATTTTTACACATGAATTAGCACCTCTGCGTCCAGGTCTTAAATTCATTGAAAGTCTTTGAGATGTGCTGAAGGAGACTTTACAGAGTGCTTGACTCTTGCATTGCCAATACAAGATCTCTTGACCAAAAATGAATGCACCTCTTGATTGAAATAACATCACAACATTTATTTCCAAGAGGTGCATACATTTTTGGTCAAGATCTTGTATTGACACCAGTTAGTTGTCACTCTGCCTGCGCCACAAACTTCTGGGTCTTCAGCTGCGCTTTGTCCCTCAACCCCTTTGGCTCCGTCAGGCTCCGCCTTCCCTCCGGATCGGCCATGGTCTTCAGTCCCACCGGCTCCACCTCAGTCCTCTGGCACCCTGGTTCCCCCTCGGCCCTTCATCCTGGCTGTGCTCTCTGGGTTCCCACCTGGCTCCCACAGTCATCTCTTCCTGCATCCTACCCTTCGTCAGCACCTTGTCCTCCTCCAAAGCCCCCTGCTCAGTCAGACTCCTTACGGCGCGAGCATGCACCTTCTTGGAGGGGGAGCTACTGTAATGGTCTCAGTCTGTTTTGGTTTCGTTTTCATATTGTTTCCTAGGCTGCTTTTCCTGAGTTCTGTTTGGTGGTTAGTTTCTGTGGTTTCTGATTGGATTACGTTCACCTGTTGTTCATTTAGTTTCCTTGTTATCTCTGTGTATTTATACTCTTAGTTTCCTCTGTTCAGTGTTCCATGTCGTCTTAGTTTTACTTGGTTGTTGTTTATAGCTTTCCTGTCTTATCCTGCGTTCCTTGAATATTGCGATTAAAGGCTTAATTTAGTAATTCTCCTGCGTCATGCGATTTGTGCAACCAAGTGAATAAAAAAGATAACTGAATTAATCATTTAGTTAACTTTAGATAACTTAAAGTTCCAAAACACTGTAGTAATAAAATGTGTTATAAAACACTGATTTCAGAAGCCCACCATATGCTACTGGTTTATACACATGCAGCCTACAGGCTTATTGTTGGTCTTTTTTTGTTGCTGTTGTTGCTCTGAAAGTAAAATGTCATTTGGAACAGGACTGAAAAGGTCACGTTTTGGTGCTTGATGGAGCACTATGCTTTCCCATGAGTCATGTCGAGAGAGAGATGGCAGGATGTACTCACAGATATTGGCAGTACCCTTGGGGATGGGCAGGTAGGAGCCCATGCTCCAGGCTCGGCCCAGGAAGTGTCTCTTGCAGCGTGCACAATCCGGCCCCGTGGTGTTGTGTTCACACTCGCAGCCCAGCTTCCCTTTGTCAAAAACACAGCTGTTGGCATGGAGATTGCACTTGCACCTAGCAGGATGGAGAACAAAACATCATAAAAAACTTAAAATGTCAGCCCAGGCTACCGTTTCTATGTTGGTGGCGCGAACAAAGAACCAGGCACAACGTTTGACGTCTTATACGAATCGTAATATTAATTTCTTTACGATGGGCTCGGAGCCTCTTAGTGGCATATCCATTACAAACTCCAACCTTTAACGTAGGCTTCCCATGATGCTGCGGAAGAGAGCTTCATTATGCCGTTAAAAACAGAGCTCATTTGACTGTGCCCCTGCGGAGATACTGAATAGAAGCGCGGGTCACATCTGTGACACAAAAGCAGAATGAAAGCCTCTCAGTGGTTGGGCTTTAACATTGGAAAAGGGAAAGAATAAAAGAAGTGGAAAGTCTATCGACACTAACAGCACCTCTTCAAAGTTCCTCTGATGTCTGCTGGGAAAGAGATTTTGACAAAGAGTCACTGTTGTTTCAGAGTGTTTAGAGAGCATTAAATGTAGGAGGAAATCAGGTTTTCTGAAGGTTGGAGTTTATGTCAAAACAAGGATGCCTTCCAAGAATTGTATTTTATATGAAGGCGCGTATGTGTAATTATTCATCCTAAATTCCTAGTTAAAACAAAGAGAGCTTCAGAGACACTGCGGCGATTGCGGATGATTATCTTAGCTGCCACTCGAGATGAGTGGTCTCACTTTCCATATCTACTCTAAATATAATTTGCAGTCATTGATTTTGCCAGGAGACAAAAGGTTACAACCGTGTTGTGTACTTCTGACCTCCGCCTCCCTGTGTGATGGGCAGCGGTTAATGAGATCATTGAGCATTCTGGATATGCTACACCTCTCTGGAGGCTTTGTGTTCGGTATGATATCAAGGCAGTATTTGTTTTTCTGCAGTGCGTTCAAAGGAGGACTTTTGCTCTTTGGAGAACCGCGGCGGTGAGGATATGTGGCTACCTCCTGCTGTGAACTCGAGACAGACATGTTACAGAAATACATCCATTCCAATTGACTTTCTACTTTTCATGACATTACACATTAATGATTAATAACTGCGGGAAAACAACAGAAAAATACTCTAATTTCAGCTTTCATGATGGCCTATTAACATCAAATGGAGCTACAGTAAATGCTTTTGTCTGCATTGACTTTGATGGACCCGTTAAATGTTGTCAATTTAGATTATTATTATTTTTTTGTAAAATAAAGCATTCGGTATTATCATGTAGTGAACTTCCGTGTATGTTTTGGCATTGATATAAATAGGCTACTTTCCAATTTTGCCATTACGGAAGTGCACTGATTCATTGGCTCTCTGGAGTATCATAAAAGGTAGTCAATTAAATATCTTCCATATCTCTAATCTCTGGATGTATCTAACTGCCCTTCATCTAGATAGTAAAATTCCCTAAAGTGTTGTGCTTTGAGATCTGACCCTCGGGTTAATTAAAAACCAGCCGAAACTGGATCATCAAGCCGATGTCACAAAGTTCAGTGTATCCGCGGCGCAGCGGCAAGGGACGTGATGCTTTTGCCGTTGGCATTGTCATATTGAAATTGGAGGGACCGTTGAATATCATTCTGCTGGTGCCGCTGGGAGAACGCCTGGCACGGCAACCGTTTGTGCTGGCAGAAAGATGAAAATCCATTTAATAATTCTTTATTGGCCTTTTTTTTTCTAGCTCTCCCAGAGTGGGCTTTGGCCATTATCTAAGAGTGGCACCACTCAGTGACTCATTTAACTCCACCCTCCTCCCTCCTGTTATGAATCCAAGTCGTAAGTGTTTTGCTTTGCGCACTCACTCTCTAAAGATATGGCTCAGGGCGTTGTGCTGAGCGGCATTGTCTATGAGGTGTAGTTCATAACTCATATTCATGAATTTTTGCCACGAAGGGACTTCTTTTCACTATTTGAATAAATGTGAGAAACGGTTTTGAATAAAAATAATCTACCCTTCTTTTTTAACATTTTAACAGAAGACGTGCGTGGCTTACGTTATGAAATCATATGATGCAATGCTGTCTAAACGTTAGTTCTCACACAAAGGCGTCTACACTCCCATGCCCTATTACTATGAAACATAGCAACATCTGAAATATATGGTCTGTCTTCAGAGGAAGTAGAAAGCAGACTTTCATGTCAGTTCCTCTTGCTATGTTTCATCCTGACCTTGGTTTCTACTGGAATGTGTTTTCCTTTGGCAGTCTCTCCCATTTTCCATTTTCTCTATGTTTGAGTTCCATATACATGAATGCATTGCACAGTATTTAAGAGACACCCAATACTAAAATACATCCTTTCTTAATGCAATTGCAGTTTTTTGCCTGGTCCCAAATAGGATGTAATATGGGAACTTGGTTAGCTCTGCGGTCTTTATGCCAATATTTCTTTTCTTAGCATCTTTAGTTTTTTTTATTATTATACTCCATATCTCTTATAAAGAAAGCAAATTACAGATGCTATTGTGTGTCAATTTCTCCACTATTGTTATTGTGCTTGAATACCATAAGTAAACATGCATGTTATATTGCCGTGTTATTACTTAATGGCCTCTGCAAATGAAACTAAATAAAAGTTATTTTCAAGCTGAAGTGCATTACAGGCTCATCTCAGTCCTGCTGTTTACTATCAATTGTCAGCCTTATCTTGTATTGTTTGCAAATGCCTAAGGCTACGAAGACTGTAATGTGAAGTCTTATCAAGAAAAGTTAATTGTTAAAAGATGAGATCATATTACATTAGGATGCAAATGAAAGGTGTACATTGTAATTTATTAAAATGCTTTGCCCAAAGAAATAAATACCCAGCAAACAAAAATCTCTTCTAAGAACATGTTCATATTAAAGGTGCATAGCGCAGGTTTCTGAGTTTTTGCAGAACTATGCCCCCTCTGGCGACAAGCGAAACTGCAACCAGAGATGTGCACGCTCATGGATCACACGCACACGCACGCTTGCACGAGCTGTTCATAACCAAAAGAGCATCAGCCGCACAAATCTTTTGTTGACAGTCATAATGTCTTCAGAGGTAATAAAGTTATAAATCTGCAAGTCATTTTAAATATATGAAAGGAAAGGCATTTGAGTAAATTACACACTTATGTGTGAGGGGAAAACGGGGGTAGTAGAAAAGTTCGGTTTTTGTTTCCATCTATCTCCATGTATGTTGAACTGTTTTATGTGTTTACTGTATCCACTTAAGAGTGTATTATTATGGAAACACGTTCATGAACAATATAAGTTATTACTTTGTAAAAGCTCAAAATAATAATCATACCATACACAGTTGGTCAACAAAGTACACTCAAATGTCTCACGGTAATAAACAATCAAATGGCACTATGACGTTACTGTAAAAGCCAAACAGGCTAATCCGCCGAATTCACATTCCCGGGAACAATTTAGTATTTTTTACGAAAAAGAAAATATAGCCAATGCAACGGCGTTCTTCCTTGTTGGTCAAGGACATGATGAGCACCTTATCATGTTAGCAAAGTACACAAGGCTACCGGTAGGTCATACACAAAAACATAGGTAACTTTAGCATCTTTTATGGGATATGTTTTATGTTATACTATTCTTCCGAAGACAATTCCTAGTTTATGAACCTGTTCACTGACAACGGTAGTAAAACCAAATCTGATTGTACATTTATCTAGCTTACGCTAAAGCATTACACATTTTACGCATCGTCATTTGTTGTCATAGATTTGCCGTATCAGACATTAGAGACTGGGCTATATCTTACCGTTTTATCAAGAAAAAAGCCAACTGAGGATCCCGTTTGAGACCAAGAGCAGACCGGAGATCTCTCCATTTGTTGAATGCCTTCCCGAGGTTGACTCTCGTCTTACTCCGACGCCTGTCTGACTCCAATTTGGACCTTTTGGTGGCACTAGACAAAATTTTTATTTTCTTTACTTTACGTGGAGTTTGCGTTGGGGTTTGGAATGGACTACAAGCCGGTCTCTTTGAATCTATCTTCTACCTTTGACGCACGAGTTGTCTTCGCTGATGCGGAGAATGGCGGCGCCGGCGAATACACAAACCTGCGAGACATAGCCTGGTGAGCGTGAACGCGCATGACGTCACGCCCAGTCTCAAATTCGAGCCCGAATCCCTCTTATATATTTTACTGTACAGGATTATAGAGGCAATCTCAGTGCGCAGAGAAGGGCTCATTCAGCCCATCAGGCAGTTCTTTAAGGATGTATAGGATAGAAAAACAGGTATTTTTAACATGAAAAGTTGCGCAATGCACCTTTAACTAAACATTTAAAAACGTTATTTCTATATGTTCCCAACATTAAGGAAACATTATAATAGGGGTTCATAGGCTATGATGAATATTTTTTGTCTTCATTATCATTGAAAAACAAACCAATTTGTTCCTTTTCCTCGTGCACATTTACATTTCCCCTTCTCCTATTCTCACTTGTGTTTACTTCTCTACGCGATGTGGCTTGTCACTCAACAAAAGCTGTTAGGGCAGATGTCGAGAGCAAGGCAGGTTCTCCAGTAACTAAGGTTAGTTGACATACTGTACAAAAGCGAGCGAACCTTCAGCTACATCTGTGAAGTTCAGGAAAACGGACAGGTACGGGGTTCTCTCACCTTCCTTCTTGATGAGATGGCTGTCAGATGTCTCTGTGCCTCCACTAGAGTTTACATTTGGAGTCCAAGTCTGCTTCTCACTACAAAGGCATCTAAGACTCTTCTAATCCTCAAGGCCAGAAGGTGAAGAAAGTTTCCAGGGGTCAAACAGCATGTAAAACTATGATTTTTACAGACACTGGTAAAGTTTCCTTACTGTACATGCTCAAAATGATTCTAAGATAAATATTTCAGTTCTACTTACTGCTGGTATAAGTTCAAAGTTAAAAATGTACACATTTAAATTGCATGTAAAATTATGATTAAAATTGGTAATCTTTCAATTGTAAATTTCGAATAATTGTGAAATATTTAATTCAAATCAATTTGAAAAAAAAAAAAATACAGTTAATGGCAGTT